ATGCTTTGTTTGGAAAAATTAACCTAACTGCATGATTTCTAGTTCGCATGCATTTATTCAGGAAAAAAGAAAAGGAAATAAAATAAATTAAAAGCTAGAGCTTATTTCTCCTTTGTGTATACCTATGAACAGAGGTTCAGTATTGTCTTAGATCAGAAGAATTTCTAGGGTTCCTTATATGCAGAGTTTCAGTTCTAGGAGTAAAGGTACTCGAATTGTTCTTGTTGATGCCCCCTTGGGCTTTCAAACCCTCAATCCTAGTCCACTACAGACTTTAGCGGATCGAGTTCAATTCGAGGGGATACATTTCTCTATACCTGACACGGAGAATAAATTCTCACGAAGACATAAAGCATATGAACCCCGAAAGTTACTTGCTAGGTCTGACACGGAGAATAAATTCTCACGAAGACGTCGCTTTCACTCCCACTTAAAAGGGCAAACTTAATTATAGAGCTTTATGTTATGCAAGTGTTGTGTGTGAGGAGAAATGTTCAAACCTTTGACAGAAAAATAAATAACGAAATAAAATACTTACAAGTAAAATGAAACATATAAATATTATGAAAATAATAAGTAAATATAAAAATTTTGAAAAGAAAAAATTAAAATTTAAATATATGAACTTTTAATTTTTAATTAATAGAGACAATTTATAATTGATTTTAAAGTTTGACCATTCCCCAGCGGAGTCGCCAAGCTGTCGTAACCGGTTTTCGTCCGGGCACGAAATATTATAATTGGCGGGGAAATTGGTGTGAATAAATAATTTTGAAAATAATTTGGGTCAGGTAGGTCGAATACCTAAAAATTATTTTTTAAAGGAGTTTTAAGAAAACATCAATTAAAAAATGAACTGATCTGCATTTATAACCAAAAATTCGTTCTTTTTATTAATAAAAAGGGATTCGTGGTCGGTTACGTTTAGGGAAGGATTAGCACCCCTACAACGCCCAAAATTGGTACTTTATTAACTATAAATTGTCTCTATTATTAGAAAAAAAATTCGAATATATTTAATTCATAATCCTTTTATTTCAAATTTATAATTTTAAGAAAATATATTAATATATATAAATAAGATATTTATTATTTAGAAATATCAGAAAAGGGCTTCTAGGTACCTTAAGACAGCTCTTTTCTTCTATATTAATAAATAAAAATGTAATAAAACTAAATTATAATTTTTATAATAATTAGTTTTAAAATACCAGAATAGGACATCCAGTTGTATTAAGACTGCCCTTTTCTTTAATATGGAAAATAAATAAACATTAATAAATAAATAATATATATATTTATAATATAGTAAAACAATAATTAAAGTAATGACTTAAATATATTAAAATAATAAAAATTAAGTTAAATATAACTAAACTATGACTAAAAATAAATAAATAATAATAAATGTAAATTATTTAAAATAATGAACATAACTTGAATCATCATAAATAAAATTACTAATAGTGTAATTAATCCTTATTAATTAATCAGTGATTAAAATAAAATTTATCAAAGTTTAAAGGCTCTATCTCGAATAAATAAAAACTTTAAGTGCTAAAAATGTAATTTAGTCTTATTTAATTAATCGGATTAAAATAAATGTTAATAAAATTATAAGGTACTAAATCAGTTATTTACCCTAAATATATATATAAACTGATAATGACTAAAATGTAATAAAATAAAATTGAATGACATAATTAAAAGAATCAAAACTTGCTTTTAGTGACTAATTTGTAATGTTACAAACTCGGAGTGACTGCGGAAAGGGTTTACCCATGATGGAAATTACACGCACACCCCTCCCCCAAAACGACGTCGTTCGGAGAGGGGTTTAAATACCCCGAATGGCCGGCCATACATGCCATCTTCCTCATTTCTTTCTTTTCTTTCTTTCTCTGAGAGAGAAAATTCTCTCTGCTCTCTCTAAACTCTTCCCCGGAGAGAGAGAGCTGACCACCGGCCGGCAACCATGATCCGCCGCAAGTCCCCCCGCCGGCCACCGCCTCCGGTGGCCGGAAATTCCCAAATTTACCTAAAATATAGATCTAAACGCTCTAAGACCGCTTCCGGTCTTTGTTTTCCCTAAAAACCCTTAGATTCATGTAGATCTAATTTTTTACCTTCGAAAAATGAGACTCCGGTGACGCTCGGGATTTCCGGCAATGAGCGAAGCTTCAAGGGTAAGTTCTCTTCTTCTCTTCGTTTCTGTTTTGGTCTGGTTGTTGGTTGTTGTTCGTATCTCTCATTTTTTTTATCTCTTCGTTTGTTTCTCTGTTGTACTTCGTTGCTCTCTGTGGCTGTCTGTTCTCTTTCTTGCAGGTGGGGTGGCTTTTATAGCTACCACCGAGGCTCTCGTTGGACCGATTCCAGAGATGAAAGGCCCGGTGAGTCACCATAGCTATGGTGGTGACTCACCATAGGGCTCAACGTGGGTAGCTTCGTGACGTTCTGGAGTGTCGGCAGCAGCTGTTGGACCACCTGGACTCATCGGAGGCGGCTGGAAGCATCTAGAAACGGCTGGCTGCTAGGGTTAGAAACCCTAGGGTTTCCCATCTGGAACTCTTTTGGGCCGTTGGATCTTGCCAGATCCAACGGCTGATGATGTTGACGGCGGCTGGGGGCTAGGGTTTGAAAACCCTAGCTGAAACCCTAAATCAGTTTAGGGTTTCCATTTGGGTATGGGTCGGTTCTGGTTGGGCCTGGTATTTGGGCTTGTAAATGGGCTTCCAGTTTTGTAATTATTTATTAAATAATAATAATATATAATATTAATAATAATAATAAATAATAATAATAATAATTATTATTATTATTATTATAATAATAATAATAATACTAATACTAATAATAATACTAATAATAATAATTTTAATAATAATAATTTTAAATAAAAAAAATTGATGTCTACACCAATTATTAAGACCTTGCATGGTAAAGATAAAAGAAAATTAAAATGATGTAAAATTACAAGAATCGAAAAGTAAAAGTGTAGAAAACACTTTTTTCTTTCCATGGGTCTGCTTGGTTGAGAGGATGGAAATATACGAGGACGAAAAGTATGTGGAAATAAAATTAGGCTAAATTACATAATTAGTCACTGACATATAATTTTTTATTTTAATTACCGAAAAATATCTATTATTTGTTTTCTGCTTTAGTTATCAAGTTATATATACATTTAATAAAATCGACACTCATGTTAGGTTTTTATATTTTGAGTAAACTACATAAATGTTCAACTATGTATTTATTTATTTAATTATACATGCATGCATTGCATTTTATCTTTATTTTTAATTTTTCTGACTGCCGGAGGTCTTCCACGGAAACTGCTCTCAACCTTGTGTTTAGGGCCAGCCTACTACCCTACCTTCCCCTTACCCCATTACATATGGGAATAGGGTTTTGTTGTTGTTATTGTTGTTGTTGTACATAAATGACTACATAACTATAGGTAAGGTCGCGAAATGACCACCATTTTTAAATTTACGTCAATATGATCCCTGAACTATTTAAATGGTTTCAATATAGCCACATGTCTTTAACACTTAACGGAAGTCCCTATGTGACAGTTAACAAAATTGGCATCATTAGGGCACGATTCCTTGTAAAACTACGTATTCACAACGCTGGAACCTGCTTTGTTTTCTTCCATTTGTTTCCTTGGTTTTTCATTTGATGCAATTTGATCTTTTATTATAGTCATATATTACATTTATAGATTAAATCCCTTAGATTTTAGAATTAATCAATTTGATCACCAATATTAACTTTAATTCTTAATTTTTAATTAGGTCCTAATTTCAATTTAATTTAATAAATTTATTTCTCCAATCATATTGTGACACATGTCACAATCTTATTATTATAATTTGAATGTTAATTATAATATATAATATATAATATATTTTTTATCATTAACTATAATATATGTATATATAATATTATAATTGATTCCTAAATATTAGATTTAGCTTATTGGTTAAGGATATATATATATATATATATATATAAATTGATTCCTAAATCTAGTGACCAAAATGGAAGAAAACAAAGCAAATTCTAGCGTCATGAATACATAGCTTTACAAGGACCCGTGCCCTAATTATACCAATTTTGTTAACTGTCACGTAGATACTTCCGTTAAGTGTTACGACAGGTGACCATATTGAAACCATTTAAATAGTTCAATGGTCATATTGACGCAAATTTGAAAATGGTGGTCATTTCGTGATCCAATCCAAAGTTATGTGGTCATTTATGTAGTTTACCCTTATATTTTTGTTGACCAACCATTGGCAGTGTGTGTAGATATGAATTTTCTTTTAATTTTTATATTATTTTTTTGCGTTCTTCTACTCAGTTGATGCATTCTTCTATCTAATCTTTGCCTTTTATTTTGTATGCATCACAGACATGGATGTTTAGTTTTGAAAAATCTTCAATATTCACAAACAATTAGTGTCCTTTCCATTATCGCCCAACTGATGTTTTGTTAAGAGATTTGGGTTTTATTTAGGGATTTAGATTACGGTTGCGGTCACCTTTTTTGTTGCGTTTATCGCGATTGCAGACATAACGTTCGCTATTGCGGTGATTGCCTGTATCGCAGTCATGAAATAATGGTTTCGGACGGCACTACTAATGTTCTTTCCGGATCTTGCTTTATTGGTTGGGACCAATACACATGCAAGAACCCTCTTATGTGCACTGGATGGCAAGGATTTTTCGATATCTTTGTGGCACCTTTGATTATGGTTTGCGATTACCGTCGCAACCGAAAGTTGTTCCTGCACTCGTTGCGTTCGCTGATGCGGATTGAGGAAACGACGACGATGATCGCCGCTCTGTGTCAAGATATTGTGTGTATTTTGGATCACATCTTGTATCTTGGAATACCAAAGAGCAACGCATTGTGTCTCGATCTACTTCCGAGGCAAAAACCGAAGTTTGGCCGACGTTACTTCTGAACTAATGTGGCTAAGGCAGTTTGAGCTGATGTGGGAGTACAAGTGAATTCTTATTCATGTGTGGATGTGTACATTTACATGATAGAACCTCTCATATCTCATCTCGAATCGAATTCGAACTCATTTTCCGATATTGTTGGTTGATATCTTGGATTAACAGAGTCATGTTAAGGTAAGAAGAGCCTCCTACTTCAACAGCATTTACTGCTTTCTCTCTGAACTCCTTAGCTCGTTTCCTCCTCTCTATTGCTTCATCTCCTTCGTCCATCAATTGGTGTATTGCATTTTGAACTTGTTCCTTCTTCAACTTGAACCCATATTTCTCTAGATAAGTGGCCGTCGGTATGTCGGCTCCGAGGCTGACTCCAATTTTAAGTATTTGTACTACAAGTTTCTCGTTGCAAAATTGGTCTGCGAAGAGCGGGAACGTTATCAATGGGACGCCTGCAGAAATACCTTCAATCGTCGAATTCCACCCGCAATGTGTTAGGAAGCCTCCGATTGCAGGGTGTGACAAGATGAGTACTTGGGGAGCCCATCCCTTAACTACAAGCCCTCTTCCTTTCGTTCTATCCTCGAATCCATCCTCTTTAATCCATGTATCCACTTCGTCCGATGTCTCGTTTCCTCTTAGGACCCAAATGAACGGCTTGTTCGATGCCTCTAACCCCAAACCCAACTCTATCAGCTCCGGACACCTTACGGAGCTGATGCTTCCAAGGCACGCATAGATGACAGAGTTTGTTTCTTGAGAATCAAGCCACTGCAGACACTGCTTCTCATTGATTGAAGCCTTGTTGCCTCTTTCGGCCTTATCCGACTCGTCTTTGTGGCTAAGAGAAACCGGACCGATACACCAAGCTTTCCTAACCTTTCGATACTCGTCGACGTAAGCCGACTCCAGTTCCTCAAACGTATTTATGACAACTCCATATGATTCTCGGTCAGCTTCTGCAATTTGTTTAGTTATTTCATCCCAGGTTTCATCGTTGTGTCTCGACGGTAACTGTGCTTTAGTAAATTCGACCTTTTCGGCCAAGCCCGGAACGGCGAAGTATTCGGAATCCGAGGTTACGGTCTCGAGTACCGTGGAGGAATGTATGTTGTGCAGACAAAGGAGACAGAAGCAACAAAATCCATGGAACGATATCCTCGGAACATGAAACTTGGCAGCAATTTTGCGCGTATAAAAGAGGCACATGTCCGAAATAATGCAACTGGGGCGCGGTGTTAGCTCCTCGAACAATTTCTCCACTGCTGCTCCCATCTTGTTTGCTGCAGTGAAGAACTTGTTGAAGTCCTCCACTGAATACATCATGTCTATGTTCTCGACCCCGTCCGACAATCCTTCTTCTTTCCCGGGAAACTCGAGCTGCACTAGACGAATAGGGCGCCCCGATTCGACGGCTCGATCGACAGTTTTCCGGACTCTGCCGGCATTACGAGGCGTCGTGACTATAGTAACAACCGTGTCACGTTGTGCCAACAGTCGACCGATATCCACCATGGGGAGCAAGTGGCCTTGAGCCATGAAAGGGAACAACACGAAGTGGGGCTGGTCGGATAAGGAACCCATTGAAACACGAGTAATAAGGAACACGAAAACTGAACTTGTAATAAAGAGGTGGCAGATAATCTTTTATATATAGCGAGATTGGTATAATTTGGGTGGTGATGCAAGAGCATACATAAGCATGTTGGTTTGTTCCGTGAAGAGATGAGGTTGGCTCGAGAGGGTGGAATTATGCGGAATGTTGGTCTCTAGATTTGGACCATTTTTGTGTGCTCCAAGTAAACTCCATTACAGTACGTGTCTTGCTATTGGCCCCGAGTTTTGCTATGTTTGAGAACGAGATGAGACCAAATCTGGAGCAACAAACTGACAAACGAAGGAGAAGAAGTTGGATACGCATGTCAAGGAAAGATCTCTGTTTTGTGAACAAAGGTAAAAATTCACCAGAGGTCCTGTACGTTTTCAAAAAAATAATATGACCCTCTTATTATTTTTTTTGTCAATATGACCCTCCAACTCAAAAAAATAAACTCAATGTGACATTTTTACTAAAGGTTTTTATTGTTAACTGTTACGGTACAAACATGACAGTTCACAGTTCTAACTTCATAGTTCACGATGCTAACATGACAATCTAAGGTGAACTTATGCGAAATGTTGATCTCTAGATTTGGACCATTTTTGTGTGCTCCAAGTAAACTCCATAACAGTACGTGTCTTGCTACTGGCCCCGAGTTTTGCTATGTTTGAGAACGAGATGAGACCAAATCTGGAGCAACAAACAGACAAACGAAGGAGAAGAAGTTGGATACGCATGTCAAGGAAAGAGATCTGTTTTGTAAACAAAGGTAAAAATTCATCAGAGGTCCCTGTACGTTTTCAAAAAAACATTATGACCCTCTTATTATTTTTTTCTGTCAATATGACCTTCCAACTCAAAAAAATAAACTTAATGTGACCTTTTTACCAAAGGTTTTTGTTGTTAACCGTTACGGTACAGACATTACAGTTCACGGTTCTAACGTCATAGTTCACGATGCTGACATAACAGTCTAGGGTGACAGATTAACGTGGCATATGACATGACATATGAAATAAATTGATAACTCAAACATGTTATTATGGACCGTTATGTCCTCACCGTAATGGTCAGCGATGAAAAAACATTGATCAGAATGTGATATTAAATTTATTTTCTGAGTTAGAGGGTCACATTAAGAGAAAAAAATAATACGATGACTATATTTATTTATTTTTTTAAAACACAAAAACCTCTTATGTATTTATGCCTAAAAGAAACATATATATCTGAAAAGGAGATTCAATAGCCATTACTTGCACTATATTGAAGTGGTATGATTAGAATTAGTTAAACACCATAAAGATTTTTGAGGATGTATCAGGGACGACGTTTAATCTTCACGTACATACATAAGGTTATTTTTTATATCTAACATGGAGCTTGATACCAATTGATTTACTACGGATTTTCTGATGAGATCAAAGTATTATTGGGTTGAGATTTGTTTTGGGTATGTGTTTCAATTACTTCTTTAACGTATCTTGAAATGTCTCAACCGAACATTAAAAACTCAATAAATATTTGTTTCAACAAAAATAATACAAACAGAAAATTGAATACAAGTCTAATACGTGATTTTATATTAATTATAAATTTTAAATTTTATATGGAGTAATTTGCTGCCAAGTTAACTTCGATTGGCGTTCTTATTCAATGTCCTCGACTGAAAGAAGCAAGTCAAGTGGCCGGAATCCCTGCTCAGTTCTCGAGTCTTGCTGATTTTATCATCATTTGTTATACTACGAGTGACGAGAGATTTTAATCGAATTTAGGAATAAATTAATATTTTATTTAAAATTTAAAATTAAATTAATATTCTATATAAAGTTTAGGGGACAAATTATAAATCAAATTGTTTTACTAATATGTCACATTGTCAAACTAACATGAGTTATCGACTTAATGACCAATATATAATAATTGATAATGTATTTTGATTAAAACTTAATATGAAACATAACTTTTTTAAATGGTTTAAAGTGAACAAAACAAAAGTGATTATTTCTATAGTTAAGCTTAAAGTTTATTTATTAACTGTTATACGATATATCATACATATACTATCTTATAATCACCATAAACTATTTAAATAAATTTAATGCATGTGATATTCTAATTTTCCCCTAAATTCAAAACTCTAGAATTTAGAGGTTTATCCAAAATCAAGATTAATATTTTAGTGTTGATAAGTTATGGTTTTTATTTATTTTAATTTTAAATTTGGGACTAGATTAAATAAATATCAAATGTGTAGATACTTTTTTTAAAGTCCTAAGAATCTTGGGGCTTACCTTGTATTTTAACCAACTTAATTTGTATGAGTCCTTTTTGTTCTAGAATAATTAAATTATGATCAACGTCGTGGTGATGTATCTGAATCTCTGTGTGTCTCTATCTGGCGTTATATTTGTTATGTGTTAATTGTTTGATTGATTGAATATTTAGTCGAAGCATGACTGTTATGTGATATACAATTTGAATAAATATATTGTGACGCATGTTAATTACCAGCTTCAGAGTTTATCCTATGCAATCAGGCTTTGAAATTGTTTAAATATTTTTACATTCAAATTGGATCAAAATTCAAATATGAATATTATGTTGTCATGTCATATTGGGTTGGGATTGATACAGAAAGTTCAATATATTAACCCGACTGAGTGAATTTCGCTTCGGATTTAGCGGTCTCTGTATTTGTGGTGGATCCTACTTCACATGGTGTGTGTAGATAAAATGGTTATGGGGAACCTACTCTTTGGACGGTATAAGATGTATGAGTGCATTTACATTTGCATACTAATCGTACCATGAATCTTATGACTCGAACTGTGATTATGTTCGATTTTTTGAATATTCTATTTATTCGCACATTTTAACTGCATTAAGCTCTATAACTCATTCACTTTTTTCTCCTTTCAGATGTAGCAGAATGTTAGGATCAGATCGTCGGTGATCAACATAACCTTTTAGATTTGGTCGTAACGTTTAGGCTGGAACTCAGGGTTGATATATCAATTTTACTCTTATTTATTTAAAGATATTGTTTAAACAATGTTGAGCTATTAAACTCATCAAATAGTCTTAGTGATTAAAACGAATATTATTCTCTCTTAAAATTTTAAGTTCAAACAGCTACGACTGCAGAATATGTGTATATTATCAATAGTTAAAAGGTATTAACTGATAGTTTAGGTACTAAACACATTAAGTTTTTAATGACAATATATTAAAATAAAATGAAAATTAAACGTTATGTATGATCTTAAAATAGATAAAACTGATAATTTAAGTATTAAATGCGTATTATACTCAAGAAAGTAACTATGAATTTGATAAATCTTCAAGGACAAAAGGTGATAAGGTAATTAGCTCCGCCGGTACATGAAGCCAAAGCTGTCGTATCGTCATAAGCATAGCTGTAAGCCTGAGGGCATTGGCTCTTAAAAACGTTAGAATAATTAGTCGGCGAGCACGTTCGCGGCGTTCCAAAATCGCCGGTGCAGCAGTACTGAGGCTGGTTGAACGCCAAACATGCACTCTTGCAACCAACGGCGCCGCCATCGGCTCCTTTAACCTGTAACTCAGGAGGACAAACCGCGTTCAAGTTGACGAGGCTAATGTCGAAGAAATCTTGTCCATTGTTCGCCGCGAGGGTGAATTCCGCTAGGGTTACCCGCGGGATGCCTCCGGCACCGTTGCATGGGACTTGACCGGAGGCGTAGTCGCCTGTTTGGCATTGGAACACGCCGTTGACGTTTACGCATTGGGTTCGAGCCTATATGCTCACACTCCAAGTAAATAAAACTAAACACAATAAACTTACAAGTAAGAAAATCATGAAAAAATTTGAAATTATATTATTTATTATAAATATTTTTTATTAATCCGGGATAATTATAAGGTATTATATTTTCAAAGATAATTCTTAATCATTTGACATTGAACGACTCACTACTGACATTCTTGATGTTCGTACTAGAACTTCAAAAAATAACAACAATTATTTAACCATCGAGATCGCTTAAGTTCATGCTCCAGGCTAATTTCAATCATAAATACCCCATAATTCAACATTAAGAATGGAGCATATGGCAATCCCTTTAGAAAAACCAGAAATCCATCCACCGGAACTATTACGGATCACACCACCACAAGCAGTCAAACCATAATCGTCACGTCTTGCGCCATCCGTATTCACCTTAATTCATTGATCGGACAGTGACTCCCAATGCTGTAATCTATTAACACAAACATTACCACCAAAGGAAAGATTGTCCCTAGCCATCATAGCCCGAGTAACCTCCAAAACCAACATTGTACTCTCCTACAACACACTCTCCGACGAACTCGCTCCTCATTCGAAAGAAGTCTCCCTTTGCAATTTAGCCAAAGTCTTCATTCTCGGTAAATCACCCTAGTTCGCCAATGTACCCAGGCCGTGTGATGGTTCTTGTCATTTAATTTGTACATGGTTCATATGCACTTTTGGTGGAGAAACGATGATGCTTATCTCGTTTCCAGCCAGGGATGTCGGGTCCTCTGTTCGGTGAAAGTGAGATGGTGGCTGCCAAAGAGAGCAAAGTATGGGCTGGAAGCAAAATATGAAGCACATCCTAGTTCCAACAGCCGTTATTGTCAACAGAGCTCCGTCTCTGGTTGCTTTCGATACAGGACTATGCAAATGAGGCACTCCCAAATACTTGCCTAAATCATCAACATTGGAAAACTGAAATCCACTATTTATGTCACCAAAAATGTTCTCATCCACATTTGAGAGAAAGATGTTAGTTTTTTCTAGACTAATCTTATGTCATAACCATTTTTAGGTAAAACAATTAAAAATTATTTTAAAACATAGTTATGGTTTTATTTGAAAAAGATGATTTCGAATAATTTGGATTAAATAAATAGGATTCGCCATCGACCTTTGGATTAGGTAGGTCGAATACCTAAAAACGTCTTTTAAAACAATTTTAAGAAAAATCATTTTTAAGACAAAATTCGGTCTGCGTTACCAAAGATTCATTTAAATGGATTCGGG